GAACTACACAATTGAGAAACTGATGCTCTCTCTGGTCTTATTCCCTTCGAAATTACTGGAAGGTAAATGAGGGTCGAATACGGTTATAGTTACATTTAGGGATCAATTACGTTTATTCATTCGGAATACTATTTACAGTTATACAGGGACGGAACCAAAATGGTCGCCATGTTAGGTGACTTTTGGCGATTTCTCGCCAATTTATTGAGACTTGCCCCTTGTAATCTTGTTTTTCCGGCAGAAAATCGTCTCTTTTAAGCATTTCATGTCACGTTATACAAAAAATACTACAATTTCACCTAAAGTTATTTACATACGACCAACCGGTAAGCCAGGTAAGTTTTTTGTGTGACGTTTTATATATATTCATGCATACAATACAAATTAACTACGAGTATCGTATATCTGTGCAATTTTATGAACAGTAAAATTGTATTAAATTATAATACAATAACTCATGATAGCTTTATATATTCTGAAAAATGAAACATATATAAAGATTTACAATTTTGAAATGAAAAACAATTTGTTTGTTTGTTTGTTAAATAGCAAATAATAGTGTTACGAATTTGGTATTTAAAAAGCTAATGTTAGTTTAATTATAAATTAAATGGTTTTATTTCTCGCGCAGTGCAACACGTGACGAATATTAAAAGAAAGCTAAGCCGGAAAATTGAAAATACAAGAGCGCGTGCATTAAATAAATAAATATCTCTTTTTGATTTCGAGAAAGTACTGGAAAATTCTAGCGCGTGATTTTAAAATCTTATAAAAGGAGGAAAACATCTCAGTTCGTAGTAGTTGCTGCTTAGTTTGTTGTTGTTTAGAAAACTGCTCTTGTTGATTGTAGCGAATTCGCGGATTAGCTTTCTTTAGCTGTTTGAATTACTTTCTATTGGACATTTGAGTAGTTAAAAGATAACTACTGTGAGATATTGTAATACTGCATCATAACTTGAGAAAATTTAAGCATTTTGTTGTGATAATAATAAATTTTGTTCATTTTTCATCGGACTTGTGCATTCTTTTCGTAACGAACCCGTACGCACGCAACAATTTTTGGTGTCAGGAGTGGGGTATTGAATGCCAATAACAAGAGCGATGGAAGAACAATTCAGGCAAATGATGACTGCATTTGCTGCTTTCCAAGAAAAGATGGAAGGAGCCGTCAACTCCGTTAAGGAAGATATAAAAGCTGTACAAGAAAAAATGGATGCTGGTCAAATATCCGTTAAGGAAGAAATGAAGCATTTCTTAAAGAACGAGATTGAAAGCAGGTCAGGAACGAAATGAAAAGAGAAATTACCTACGCAATAGAAAATAAATTTGAGGCTATGGAAGGCAGAATAGACGCGGTTGAAATTAAAGTTGGGACAAATTGAAGAAACGTTTCCTCTGTGAAACCGCAAATAGAAGACAGAGTTTCGGCCGTGGAACAACAAATAGGTTACAAAGTTGATTCAGTCAAAGAAGAAATAGAAGGAAGAGTTTGTTCCGTTAAACAACAAATCGAACAACAAATTGATGAGAGAGTTTCTGCAGTTGCCAAGAAATGGATACTTTAAAGAAATTCGTAGCGTCGGCAGGGAGCGGGAGTGATGATTTTAAAATTCTTACCGATGCCTGCTCGTCCATCTCTGAAGCTATCCACATATGATGGGAAGACATCCTGGCAAGTGTATAAGACCCAGTTTTCTATCGTTGCGGATGCGAATGGATGGGATTCCCAAGCTAAGGCCTGTGATCTCGCCGCTTCTCTGAGAGCAGACGCAGCGGATATCCTGCAGACGCTTCCCGAAAATCTAAGGCTAGATTTCGAAGCTCTATCCGGCGCCCTGGAGCTGCGCTTCGGCGAGAAATGTTTAAAGGACTACAGTAGGCTTCAATTAAAATCCCGTCAACAGAAGCCCACCAGAATCACTCCAGGAACTCGCCACGGATGTTGAAAGGCTGTCCCACCTCGCATTTACGGAGTGCCCGAGAGAAACGAGGGAAATTCTGTCGCTGCAATATTTCATCGATGGCATCCGGGACCCTGAAATACAGAAAGCACTGCGAATGGCAGATGTAAAGGATGTAAAAAGCGCTCTGTTGTACGCCGTGAAATTGGAGGCAGCCCAGCAAGCAACTCTTAGGGATCGCTACCCAGTCAGAGCTGTGCGAGTCCACGACCCAGGGGACCAATTGATGGCTCGTTTAGATGATTTATCCAGACAAGTCGATGCTTTGATACGGAGTAGCAGTGAGAACAAAGTGGCTGTAAGAAGTTGGAGATGTGGTTCTGAAGGTCACCTACGACGGCATTGCAGAACACCCCAGGGTACGGAATATAAAGCAGATGATTTTACCAGACAAGTCAGTGGCTTGAGACGGAACAGAAGTGAAAAGAAACCGATCCTAAAGTGCTGGAACTGCGGAGTTGAAGGCCACATACGAAGAAACTGCAGAACACCCCGAGGTACGGAAAATAAGACCATTTCCCAACAACGACGCAGTAAACAAATTAGTGACCATATCGAGGAACGGAGTTTGCCAGATAATGAAAAACCTTGTTTTAAAGCGCTTAAAATTTATACAGTGAGTGGCAACAGTAACGGAATGTCCATTAATGGAATATCGATGGAGTTCCTTGCAATATGATCATTGACACAGGAGCTAATGTTACCATCATTAGGAAAGATTTAGCTGAACAGTTTAAAGATAAACTTATTTGGACGCCATCCTGTGTTACCCTTCAGACTGCGTCTGGTGACAAGATCGACATAACTGGGAAGTTAAACGTAAACATCACGTTTGGAAGTGCCGCCTACCATCACACGGCATATGTGGCGGATATTACAGAGATCCAACAAAGGAGACAAGGTGTGGTTGTGGAACCCAATTCAACGAAAAGGACTGAGTCCTAAATTACAGTCACCTTCGGATGGTCCATATACAGTGCTGAACACGAATGACGTCGTGGTTCGGATCCGTGAGTCTTCGAACTCTTACGACAGGTTAGCTTATTACTATGGCCATAGTACATAATGTAAATAATTGTAAATAGTATCAGACCATGGTCCTTTTTGTTTTTTTAAATGTGTATTTGATTTGATTTAGTATTTGATTTGCATTTAGTATTTGATTTGTATTTAGTATTTGTTTTGTATTTAGTATTTGATAGCATTCGATTTGTTTAAGTTAGTTATTGCATTTATTGTTCATGTTGTTTGATATTGTAATGTAATGTTTATGCCACAGTTGTAAGTTTAGCTTCCTGTCCAGGGATTGTACTGCCTGGGACGTGCAGTCCTTGGGAAGGGGGCAGTGTTACGAATTTGGTATTTAAAAAGCTAATGTTAGTTTAATTATAAATTAAATGGTTTTATTTCTCGCGCAGTGCAGCACGTGACGAATATTAAAGAAAGCTAAGCCGGAAAATTGAAAATACAAGAGCGCGTGCATTAAATAAATAAATATCTCTTTTTGATTTCGAGAAAGTACTGGGAAAATTCTAGCGCGTGATTTTAAAATCTTATAAAAGGAGGAAAACATCTCAGTTCGTAGTAGTTGCTGCTTAGTTTGTTGTTGTTTTAGAAACTGCTCTTGTTGATTGTAGCGAATTCGCGGATTAGCTTTCTTTAGCTGTTTTGAATTACGTTCTATTGGACATTTGAGTAGTTAAAAGATAACTACTGTGAGATATTGTAATACTGCATCATAACTTGAGAAAATTTAAGCATTTTGTTGTGATAATAATAAATTTTGTTCATTTTTCATCGGACTTGTGCATTCTTTTCGTAACGAACCCGTACGCACGCAACAATAGCATTAAAATCCAAAATAACTCTTAATTTATGTTCATAATTCTAGATAAACTGTAAAACACTAACACAAACTGAACATAATTTTCATGTTGAAACCGCATGGATTTTCTGAAGCTGTCCAAATTTCCATCGCTGGTTGGAATTTTTCGAAAAACAGTATCTTTACAGTAGCATTTTAAAAACAACGATGTCTCTACATTATGTATAATTTTAAAATAAGTATATGTAAAATTAATTTTACAATACAATATATGTCATTTCAAAAATTTATGTATAATTTTTTAATAAACGGATTAACACTTGTAACATAAGAGCGATTTTAAAATTAACGAGATTTGATGATGCTTCATATTTTACTTTTATTTATATCCCACGTCTTCATTCAACTCAGTAGACTTCAATGTGTTAAATTTCGCGGGTATGATATGAGTTCGCCATAATTTTTATTCGCAGCTACGAAGTTTGCCGTTTTCGTTTCGGATCTAACTGAATTCGATGTTTTATGTTTTCAAATCTTAAATCACCAATCTTAAATGAAACAGTTCATCGCTTTGATCTGCGTCTTTTTCTTCACGCTTCACTTTTTCCGAAATTTTATTTTAAAAATATTCTTTAGCAAAATTTAGTAGCGGTTCTTTTAAATATACTTTTATATCGATAACCTCGAATCAAGGAAGAAAACTAGGTTTTTATTTTTTTTTTTTTTTATTTTATTTTATTTTATTTTATTTAAATATGGGTAAAATCCTAGTATACGGTGCAACCTTGGCGCGATTTTGAAAATTATCGCTAACACCAAAAATGATCCAAAGAACGTCTATATATTATATACTATATACTATGTGTGTATATACATAGTATATACGATGTATAACTATGTATATTCTTTGAATGACCCGTTTACTACTCATCGTATATGTCCCATTTTTACAGCTCATCATAAAGTAGCCAAATCCCGCGTGCACCATATACTAGGATTAAACCAAAATATGTCCTTTTATGTCAAAATCAATTATATTAGAATCAATCAAAGCAGTTTGCCTTAAATCTTTCGCAAAATTTTTAAATTTCTTTGAAACTAAAAATTTCATTTTTTTGTTTCACAATACACAAAAAAAGCGAAGTTACATCTTACCCTGCATTTTAATTCTAATCGACAAAGAATGAAACAAAAAAAGCGAAGTTACATCTCACCTTTACAATATAATTCCAGTCGACAAAGAAAATGGAGACAAATCAATATACTGATTCGTTTAATCCGTCTAGCAATATGCGTCTGCTACAGAAATAACCATAAATGAAATCAAGCGCATATTTCCTGCGCAAAATTAAACATTGATACTAGAAGATATACCTCAAACCACGCGCAAATTCACTGGCAACTCTTACGCAGAAAAATACATTTAATATTTCAAACAGCGTCTCTCAGTCTCCCAATGTTATTTCAAAGGGCCTTTCGACGTCATGCTGCAAAAAATATCTGCCCTTGCGCCGCAGTCTATGCTTAGTTAGTGGACTTTGAAAAGCCTGTTTTGGCGAAGTAACAGTGAATGCAAATATAACGGGAGAAAAATTTAAACCTTTCGGAAAGTGTCGGAAGTGTGATAGTTTTTATGCAAGTTTAGTCTGTGCAGCTTGTTACAACAAGTTTTAATTCAATATGGTATTTAATTTTAATGTTAGAAAATAATACATGCTCTACTCATCACTTCTAAGAATAATCGATGTTATTAATTCTTCATTTAATTCATACTGATTGTTTACAGCGCAGAATTCTATTTCATACTTATTGGTATATTCCAGACTTGATTGTTAAAATTATAAAGTATTTTAATCGCGAAAATTTTTCAGGCATCATATTTCGATGAAAATACACATTTTGACCGTTATCGAATGCAGTTAAACTATGTTTTTGCTTGACATCTGTACGTAAGGACAGAATAAAGGACTCTTATTTTCCAAAATGGATTGTACGTATGTATGTATCAAGCATAACTCAAAAACGAGTAGCCTCAGAACCTCAAAATTTTGTATATGGGACTGCTATAACATGTAGTTGTGCAATCGGCCGCACCAAAAGTATATACATATATGTATGTAATTTCAAAAAAATTAATTGCAATCGGCAGCCCTTTTTAATTGCAATCGGCCGCACCGAAAGTATATACATATAAGTATATAATTTCAAAAAATTTTTAAAGGTAATATAATCATGTCAAATATTTTAGCGCATTAAGCTGCTGAAAAATAAAGTCAGATATTTAAAACCAATGTTACACAAAAACCAAAAATTGAAATTCATAAGTAATAAATTTAAAAAAATCCTCTAAATGTACAAGAGAATTTAATAAATATTAAAACTAAAATACTTGAAACAAGTAAAATCCAAAAAATTAATGAACTTGAAAGTTTTTATTCTTATATGTTGCTTTTCTACTATAAAAGGGATTGAATTATGGTCTTATGTTCTGGTTAAGGTTTTTATGCTTTTAGTTAATCTGCATGCCATAGTTGTAGAATCATTAGGAGTTGAAAGCTGTTTAAGTAGGACTAAGCCCAACAGAGCAGCTATTTGTTTACATTTGAAACTTAGAGTTAGTGAATTAAATCAGTTTGTGACATTCAGTGACTTTTTGCCGAGTGGGACCAAAAGTAAACTTTCAGTTTTGTGCATCGAAAAATCTGCTTTCTTGCCCGCTCTCCGAATTGCTAGTTTTCGCGTAAAAACTGCCATTTTAATTGAAAAAATAGTTCTTTTAACTGTCTTAACTGTATTTGGTGTTTTATATTTTTCTGTATTTTACAGTTTTTAACGAAGATGTTTTGAGGTTTTATGTACGTTTACCTTGTCGCGAAGTGAGAACTGAATTAATTGAATGGGAAATATATCTCTAATTAAATTCGAGGAAGTAAGTTTAAATGTATTCTACTAAAGTAAATGTCGAGAAACCTAGTGAACTGTTAAGTGACTGATCTCTTTGTTCAAGTAACAGGAATCGTAAAATCAAGAAGGGTTAACTACGCTTTAGTTCACTCAAAATAAGATGACCAGTCGGCCTCTTTCTTCGGGGTTGCAACAAAGCCTCCGCTCGGGCATAAACTCAAAAATAAAGGGGGAAAAAAGAGAAAATCTGAAAAGTTTCAGATTTTAAATTACGACCAAAGGGGCCTTTTATAACATTTTGTGTGTTACCTTTATTTATTAAATAATGTTCTTCGCACTTAAACCATAAAATTCAGTTCAACAGCAATGTCGCAAAATAATTTTAAATTGAGCATATCTTTAGAATTTCCAACACACAGTCTCACGCGCTGGAGATAAAAATGTTTTTTTATGTACAACATTGCCATTGCTCGCTTTTAAATCGTTGAGGTTGTTACTCAAAAAATTGTTTAAGTTTTGCAAAATAGGAAATCGATCATAAAACAAATTTCTAATTTCAAATTTGGTCTTCCAGATGCCCATATTCGCAGTTAGATTACGTCATTCAAAATTCGATGGCTCTAGGTACCTTTGTTTTATCACTATGCGAGAAACACACATACATGTATGCAGATTCTTCATTATTTAATTTCTTTAAATATAACAAAGGGCTCTAATATTTGGCAACAATTTGAAAAGTGAACCGAGATTTATAGTGAACCAACGCAAAATGCCAAAATGAAATTAATAGCCCTTCTCTGCTAACAATAATATCATACAGTATAGTATAGACTGGAGCCCATCGGCGGCCGAGTAGTAAAATCGTTAAACACGATCCGTGATTTGAATTCCGGCGAACGGGCTGGGCTGACTGCATGGGAATATGCATACGAGCCAGTTTCCCGTAAGTCCCCCACAAGGGTGTCCATCCCCTTAGGCAGATAGCCTTCGCGTGCTTTACTATTACTAAAATAAACCAAACCAATAGGATAGACTGAACAGACGAGATTGCATAATTGCTTCTCAAGGAATCTCCGTGCGAACTATTAGTACGAAACCAGTTAGTTATTAAAAACATCGTGAATAATCGAATGTTGATTGATTGTCTCTAATCGGCTTTGCGGAAATGTCGCTTGTTTCTCATTAGTTGTAACTGTTAGAAAATTTCTTGTTCTCTCACCTATTCTGATTCTGTAAGGATTACCTTTCCCACGCTCAGTAAACCTCCACGCATTTCTTTAACTTGTCATTTCGCTAATTGAACAATGGTGATTTATCAAGCAGCCGAGCGAGAATTTTCTCCCACGCCTTCGGAAATCGTTTCCACATTTCGTTATCTAGTCATTTTGCTTAATTGTCTCTTGGGGGTTTTCCCGAGGATACGCATATCACTGCTTAAGAATTACTTGCCCTAGAGAAACCACCTGTGACCAGGGCCTTTTCTTTAACTTAGATCTTTGCCTTTGAATCTTAAAATAAATTGATTGTAAACCACTTGCCCTCACAGGAAGTTTCTTTGGGAAAATCTGCTTATCGACTTTAATTACTAGTCAACTGTAAATTAAATATGGTTGTGAATACAGCGGCTATGCAGGTTACTTCGTGGAGGTAAGTAAGTGCATTTCTACCTCCATGAAGTTAAATATTGATCCAAGTTTATAACTGAACTTTTTGGGCCCAACAGATTTCCTGTAGTTAATTTATATAGCTTTAACGAGCCTCCAAACGTATGAGAATGGGATATAAAAAATAATAAAATTAAAAAAAAATCCTAAAGCCTTCAAATTTTATATTACGCCCGAAAGGCTTTTTTTTTTTTGTTTTTTTTTTTTTCCCCCCCCCCATTTACATACACATTTTGATAGCATTTGGGATAATGTTCCTTTGAGCTAAAAATAATTATAAGCAGCTTATCTTTAGAATTTCCAATAGACAGTTTCGCGCGCTGGAGATAATTTTTTCCCCCTCTCCCGTGCAGTGTTGCCATAGCTCCCTTTGAAATCATTGAGTTTGTGAATCAAAAATTCGTTAAAGTTTTACAAAATATGAAATACGCAATAAAAAAATTCGAAATTAAAAAATCGGGTTCCCAGGTGACCATATGCTCATGGAGGACTATGGTAATCAAAATCTGATTCCTCTAGGTACCGTTGTTTTTTTTTTTTTTTTTTTTTTCACAATGCGAAAAACATGCATACATTCATGAAAATTATTCATTAGTTAATTTCTTTAAATATAATACAGGACGATATTATTTGATGGCAACAATTTGAAAAGTGATTGTCTTTTATAGTGAGTGATTCAACGCAAAATCCCGTTTTGAGACTAATAGCCCTTCTGGCGTGTTCAGACGGGTGAAAAACGCCAAGTCCGGTAGAACTTTTGTGTGGACCTACATGAAACCTATTATAAGAGTTACTCGTATGAATCTTCGGAGTAGAAAGAAGGATTTAAATTAACAGGATAGTAGCAAAACTCACTAGCCGTCTGCCTAAGAGATGTCTTCGTGGAGAGTAAAAATTCTTCGCGAAGGCTTTAAAAACTGAGAACTTACTCATAGACTCACATTCACGTTACGAAAAGGAGCACTGACTCGTATTCATGTCATTCATCGGCAAAGCTACATACCCTATGTTACACAAAATATAAACCATACAAGGCAGTCAACCTGCTGTTTGGGATTTGAGCCCAAGTCGAACTACCAGTATTCAAACATCTTCTCCATTCTATCATTGGTGAGATAAGAATCACGAGATACTGAAATGGCATTCGAAATAGAATTGAGGAGAGATTTATTTTAACTCTGATCCTCTGTTCTGACATAGGTATTTTGACACAAAATCGCACTTTTTCTGGAATGACATGCCGATTTTTTTTCTTCCATATTTCGATTCTATGATATAAATTGTGCAGGAGTGGAGAGAAAAGGTGCGTTCAGTCTTACAAATAATTTTAACAATACGCGTAAGCCACATTTGGTGCAATTATTGCTTATAACAAATATGCCAAAATTTAAAACGCACCAATATATAAATTCACGTATATCTTGGGAAATTTTGTACGAAAAACTGTAATTATTTACAGGTATGCTTAGAACTACATTTACTTTAAGATGATGGTAAAACTTTTGTAGGTTATAATTCAAAAATTTTTTTCCAAAAATTACAAATGAACCTAAATTTCGAGTTGCGAAAGAAGGAATGAAGTAAGTTTAATAAAAAAAAAAGTGACATTAATAAATACATACTAAATTCAATTAAAATTGAAGAGCTAAAATTTTAAGAGCTAATATTTTAAAAACTACTGGTGCGACTTTATGAAACTTGGTATTTTGTTATAATTTGGGTCGTAGAATCGAAATATGGGAAAATATGGTACGCCATTTCAGAAAGATTTCGATTTTCTGTCAGAATGTTATATATATAAGTTTAATATATTCCTTAAGTCACGCTTTCGAGACATGGAAAACGCAAATTAAATTTTA